CTGAAAGCAGAATGTCCAAATTCCACGTCCTGATCAATCAAAGATTGCTGGACTAACATTCGGAAGAGACCTTTGCTAAGCAGGAACCATAAGCTCGGTTTCGTGAATGGCTAACTGAAAAAATGGAGTTTTGTTGTCGGATACCTATAAATTTGAATACTCAAGTTTTAACATTCTTGATTTTTACATTTTGTGTAATTTTCATGTTTCAATTTTCATATTATCACAATAATTTAGAAGATGAAAAAAGCTGATTTTTTCTGAAATTAAAGAATTAAATCTTCGACTTCGATACTTTATGGTATTAGGAACAAATGATACGGTGAAGATGAAGCACGATGATATCGTTCCGTGTTTAACAGTTCAAATCATTGATACACCGATCAGTAGGCAAATTAAATAAAATACTCTGACGGTCGAAACTGTAAACCTGTTCTAGTAAGTCATATGGATTGTAGCTGAATATAATTTCTCCATCATCTGGAAGCGCATTATATCAACCAACCGAGTAAGATATAGTTGAAAAATTAGAAAAGCCACTCGAAAATTTTTTAACCTAGGGAAATATTAGATCGAATTGAAAAAAAAAAATGAAGGAATATGAAGATATATGTTGAATGTCCTCTATAGTGTAGTATTAATCATTACATATGTGATCATCGAGTATTTAAGCATTAAATTTGAATCATGAAATTTCGGATTTGATTGCACTTTTTTGTTTTAGTCATTTTAATTTGAATCTTGAAAAACTTAGCTTCTGACTCGATAGCTTCGCACACTATAGTAAATGGGAATCATATAAGGGGACAGTTTATTATCCTTAGTGCCTATCCAAATCATCATCAGATGTCAATTCAGAAAGTGCGCATATTGCAGCAAATCAAGCAATTCAACAGTTAAAATGAAACACTACCACATTCTTTTTTTGTTTTAATTTATAAAATTATATTTTTATAAAATTTACAAAATATAAATTAGTTTACAAAAGAAAAAAGAATTAGTGCTGAAATTCAATCATATTTTATGCCAATAATGACAATAGTTACAAATAATGGAAATGAGGATTTCTAATTAGCCCAATTTACGTTTTAGTACATACCAAAGAGAAATGTGCAGTAATTAATGATGCTTCAAACCTTATCAATACTTACCTTCATGAGTTTCACTTCCATTCTTGCTTCATTACTGATACAATGATATGTATATATGATATTTTATGTCAACAATCTTTTATCAGAATGGATGTTATATAATATAATGAGGATTCATTCTTCTTCTTTCACTGTCTCCCCTTTCTCCCCCTCTCTTTCTTTCTCTTTTTCTCTCATTCATTCAACAGAATAGATAATCTTGTTATGTCTCACAACGATTTTTTTTTAAATCATCAAATTTGAAGAATGGAAGTTTCAACTTGAAGGCATTATTTTGCCCAGTATTTATAATGCCAAATTGACACATACACATACACATACACACACATATATACATAAATTATAAATAATGCCAAACATACACACATACACGCAAACACATATATGCATATACACATACTCTACATACATACATACATACATACATACACACACACATACACACACATTCAACATTCAAACTAAATAAAGAAAAGTTTAGAAAGCATTGTGTAAACATTTTTGATAACAAAATGATAGCACAAACTGACAACATAAAATATTATCAAAGATTCAAATTAAATCAAATTAAAGAATTATATAAAGCAAAAGAAATAATCAAAGCATTCATTTGTTTCTTCTCTCTCTCTCTCTTTCTCTCTCTCTATCTCTCTCTACCTCTTCCTATCTCTCTCTATCTCTATCTACTTCTTTTTTTCAAGGAAGAAAAAGAAAGAAGATTCGCAATTCTGCATTTTATTGCATTTCTTATTTCCAATTTCTAATCATCAAATTTTGTTAGAATTCAAATAAATCAATAAGAAAAAAAATGTTTTTTTGATGAAATTTAAAACATATTTAAGTCTAATGATAAGAAGCTAAAATTCTTTTTTAATTTAAAAATTTTTATGCAGTGAAATTATATGTTCAAAAATAGAAGTTGCCATCTCAATTTCAATTTTAATTTTAAAATGTAGAAATTTTCATACTGCGGAACTTTTCCAATTACCTCTGAATTTTAATTTTTCTTCCTTTTCCTCATTTTAATTTCGAAAATTTCCTATAATATCTATACTTTTATGCAATATCTATACTTTTCTATAATATCTATACTTTTATATAATATCTATACTTTTCCGATTTTGAATAATTCTTGAATTATAACTTAAAAGTTTAACTTTGTTTTCTGTTGTAGTTCTACTTTTGCCAGTTCCAAGAAACAACCAAAGGAAATGAAAAATGAAATAACAAAAAAAGAAAAAAAAAACTAAGATTCAAACAGTGATAAGGGTTACAGCAATTAAACATCGAAGCGTTTGCGTACGATGTATGGTCTCTATGGAAATGTCTTCTAAGCGTCATTAACACCATTCATCTTCCTTCATTTTCGACAATTTTGTCCAGTGCTTCCGAAAATATCGATCAAAATGTCACCGAATCAATGTGTATTATCATACACCAACTCTCATATAAATAGCATTTTTAAAATGTTAAACTCTTTCCTCTCCACTTTTCTCATCGTATTGCATTCCGTCCTTCCCCCCCTCCCCCCCACCCCCGTCTCCCGCTATCACCATCCCGTACCCCATGCTGAGAAAATTGCCACTTTTATAACTGGTGAATTAATTCATTTATCCTTCAAATATCATAGTTAAATAATACTTTAAGCTATGTTTAATCCATCAAAATATTTTCGGTGCGGGAAAATGTGGGGAGGGAAGGGTAGGGAATGGGATGTTCCAGAAGTTGCAACATTTAGCGTTCTTTTGAACCCAGAAGTAGAACTTCAAAATAGTGCCTTTTCATTATTCTCTTCTTAACACACTTCGATAACTTTTTTTCAGCTTTCATTTCCGATATTTTTCCTTTTCTTTGTTATTATTCAATCGCTTCTTTTATTTTCTTTTTTGAAAAAAAAAACAATTTTGCCTCTTTTTGGTTTAACATCTCTTTTTTGTTTTAAAATTCACGAAAAATTGCATTTCTATAACACCTACTATCTAAGAAAGGATTGAATTTTTTCCAAATTCCCTTTTGTAGAGGCATTCATTTCTTTTAATATCAAATTTAAAAATAAAAACATTCAGCAATTCCATTTCAACTATGCAAAAATTCATATCTTTGGTGACATAATTCAATTTTTTTCTCACAGTTATGGATTCTTTTTAGACGTTCATATTCATAGATGACCGAAGCATCCGCGCGCTGGCTGATTCGAACGATCTTTGAAATTCACCAAATCATCCTCTTTGTTCGGTTATTTCAGTTGTCAGAAAAGGATTTACGATGATAGGTTTTATTAGACTGTTAAGGTGCGATGTTTTTGGGAATACGCGTAGTCATTAGCGACAAACGGTAAAATGATGAATTCAGTAAATTGAAATTGCTTACTTTTCGAACTTCTGCAAAAAATTTGATTAGCATTTTGCTGGTTACAAACTGATCAGTAATGGCCATCAACTGTTCCGAAATTATCCGCAGCTTAACGATTCAATGACAGGTAACATTATAGAGCGCAAATATTTCAACTAATCTTGTTGGATGGATAATGAACCACAGATACTTTCTCCACTTTTCTCATTTTAAAAAAAAATTTTTCAAATAACCATTTTAAAGATCTTCAAATGCAGACAAAAAACTAAATCATTGAAAAGATATGGATTTTTTTCCATCGTTGAAGAAAATATCTTTCAAAGAATTTTGAGTTTTAAAGAATTTTGGGAGCTTCCAACACTAAATCAGAATTTTCAAGCTTAGAAAAAGAAGGATATCCAAAACATCGCTGTTGAGAAGTTTAATTCCAAGTACTGCGAAAAATTCAAGTATTTCAAAATCAAAGGGGGAAACAACTAACTCCTGAAAACTCGAATTCTACACAACTAAGTACTAGCAAAAGTGAAGAACATAGATTGCAATAATGAAGAGTGTAAAAATTCCCGAATATCACGACTAATGGTGTGTTCTCGTTGATCGAAGTGTCAGGAAGAAGTTTTTGACCAAATTTTTTACGAAATAAGTTTGTGAAAAATTGAAGGAAAGATTGGGAAGTTATACTGAATTGAATTCCAGGACTGAACCAATTTAATAAAATTTGGTGAGATGCAAAGGTCCGAATGCACTGATCCAAATCCAACCCACCCATCGGACGACCTGAATTACTGCTGACCTGGATTCACCCTGAACTAGGAAGTTTTAAGGAACGATAAAGTGATGCAAAATTACGAGAAAATCGAAATACTATCATACTTTTTACTCTCTCTTAATTTCGTGCTATTTTCCTGAAATTGATAGCACTATCGGATGTTTCTCTAATCTGGTATCATTCTCTCTGTCTCTCCAGGTTCCATCTTGTTTCATGGGGGCGAATTTCATATGATATTTGAAGGATGCGTTGTACTACTTCTTACCGTGAGCGATTGGGTGTGTGTTGTACGGGAGAGTTTGGTAAAGACAGGTCTACTACTTTTCTCTCCTCGGGAATTCTTGTAGCCTTCCCCGGGGTTTCCCTGTAGCTTTACATGAAGCGGACAAATTGAAAATTGTGTTGTATTACTCCGTTTACAAAACAATTTGCTAGCGCAGTTCATGTAAATTTCACGGACCGTTCAAGTTTTCCGAAGGTGTTCTTTTTTTATATTCCTGTTAGAAATTTCATTCACTTCATTCTTATTCGAGTTGTCACTGTTGTCAGTCTTTCACTTGAATTATTACTTTCATCAGACATGAGTCTGATTTAAGATATCCATATCATTTAAGATATCCATACCGAAATTCTCTTTTCATATCATACTGTTATCCATTCTCTTAATCGTTTGTTCTTTTTTTTCGGTAAACTTTCCAAATAATTTGAAATAGAAATTGCAGGAAGCTATGGATGATGCTTCTGTTGATAAGACCGATTATACATTAGCTCACTTGATGCCGAAAGTTGAAACACAGCAGGTTAATTTCCACTTAAAATTTGATGATTTTATAAAAATGAGCAAGACTTGTAGTTGCTCATTTTTCCTCTCTTTTTTCCGTTTGATTACTTGATGTCTGAAATATTGTCCCATTACTGTTATAGTATATTGTTTTCGTAATAACCAACGTGAAAATAGTGAGTCTGATTCCGGTGAGTCTGATTAACAGTGAGTCTGATTCCATTCAGACCACTGATCACTCTTCATTCTTGCTCGTTACTTTTCGAAACTGAGACCTGTATTATCATCGAATATTAAATCATTCCGTTTAAAACTATCCTTGTGATCGTCGTCTTCATCCCATTACTATGGAGAGTTTTCTTTCCTACTTACTGGTATTAATGAATGGAGTACTGTGCAACGGTTCCATTGTTAAATTACTGGGAAATCTTTCAGAATGAAGGAAAATTAATTCCACCCTTAAGATTATTTTAGTAAATTCAAGCTATACAAAATAATAGCTCAAACTTATTGAAGCTCAAATTTATTGAAAAAATAATAGCCCAAACTTTTTGTCTTCACTTTTCGTTCATAACACTTGCCGTACCTTATCGTCGTTTTCGGATTGACGAATAAATGAGCAATGAATTCGATCTTCTGAGCTAAAAAAATTACGCAGAAATTAGG